TGTTAAAAGTTGAAACAAATGTATGTTATACTTACTTTTAAGAAAGGTTAATAAAAACAAGTAAGATCATTATTTTCCAGCCTGCTTGTTCCAGTTCAGTGTCACAGGTGGCTGGAGCCTGTCCCAGCAGCTTAGGGCACAAGGCAGGCACCCACCCTGAACAGAACACCCTTCCATCACAGAGCCACTCACACCCACCCCCACTCACTGAGACTGGGACAATGTAGACACACCAGTTCACCTCATGTGCACATCTTTGGGATGTGGGAGGACACTGGAGTACTCGGAGAAAACACACATAAAAAACCCTTGGGTAGAACATGCAAACCACACAGACAGTGGCCCCCACTGGGAATCAGTTTTTCTCCCCTCACCAACGTTGTAACGAAGCAACATTGAATGAAACAACATTATTTGAGGACCTGCTGTAATTAAAAAACAGCTGGATGGTAAAAAGTAGCCCATGATGACTCTCTAAGGGAACCTGTAGAGCGGGTGGGGAACGTGTGGCCCCGGGGCCGTATACAGCCAAGAGAAATCATTCGGTCTGGCCCTGCCAAGGCCTCACCAAAGAGAAGCAGTTTCAGCCATCACATTAGGGGTGAGTTAATTAAATGTTTGACCAAATATAGCAGGCTAATTTTTAAGTTAATTTTGTGTGGCCCACTGATGATGTTATAAATATCCAAATGGCCCTTGGCAGAAAAAAGGTTCCCCACCCCTGCTGTAGAGCATTGGTTCTCGCAATGGATGATTTTGTCCCCAGTGAACACTTGACAGTGTCTGGAGGTATTTTGGGTTGCGTTATAATAATTTTATCCAGTTACCATCCTTTCATGTTTTTCAGGGTGACAATCTCAAAATTGAGAGTTCCCCTTTGCCTCCATTCAAAGTGAGACTATGTTATGTGGGTAGGAAATTTCTAGTGACTTAATTTTTTGAAAATAAACTGTTATTGTATACCGGAATTGCAAAGATATTTCCGAGAGTTCTGTATACCCCATGTGGTACATTTGAACCAATCTTGCTATATTACAGGGTGGGGCAAAAGTAGGCTTACAGTTATTCGAATGGAAAATAATAAACAATAAATAATATAAGAATAAACTCTTTCACGTACTCACAACTGTTAACCTACTTTTGTCCATCCCCCCAGTTTTAAAGGCTATTTCCAATAATTTCTAAATAATGGAAATCAATATTGAATGTCCATACTACCTAGTCGCTTCCTAACCTTTAAAAGAAATTAAGTAACTTTGTAACCAATGGTGCTTATCAGGAAATCGGTGCTTTATAACAATATGAGTTTAAAATCCGAGAGTGGAAATCTTGAAGCTTAACATTTTATTTGTAAGTTGGGTGTTAATACAGATGGTAAGGTGGAGTTTGGTCATTAGTAAAGCTGTTTTGTTTTGTCTGGAAAATATAATATTATGAAATGGTTTATTCTTTGTAGATAATTTTTCCTAAGATCATTGGGCAGAAAAAAGCCTGCCCTGAAATAGGAAGTGTGCCCTCCTGGAACTGAACTGAAACTTAGTTTAGGACACAGAATAAGTAGCTGGTGGATAAAAGGCTAATTTCTACAATTCAGATTGCTAACAATTTATTCTAATTCTTTTCCTCAGAACTGTCCAATTTAAGATTAAATTTTACACAGCAGTATATTAGAGATCTGGTAATTTTGTTGTTTCAATTGAACCTTTTAATAAACTTTAATGCAGTCCTGAGTAAAGTAAAAACTTAATCCTATCTCTCTTTTAGGACTCTTAGTTTGCCGCCTCAAAGCTTTCTAGAAAAAGTGACAATGAAGCATTACTGCTTCTTAAAGACTCTGCTTTTATTAAATTTTCTTCAGTAATCCTCTTTTAGTCTTTTTTCACTGCGTTATTTGAACCATGAAAGAAATAAAAATTGTACTAAAATGAAAGTTTAAAATTAGTGAAGCTTTGGAAACCTCTCAAACCATAGAACATATTTTTCCCTAGGTTTTTGTTGTTTTTTTAATTCCAGAAAGTAGATCAGTAGAAATAATGCTCTGTAATTGGTTTAATTAGAAATGAAAAATTATAGGAGTAATTCAATTTGAAGTGTAGATTTAAATAAGAAGAAATATACTGGGATTAATATCACTTAAGTGTTTGCATTTAAATAAGATGCATTTAAGCATAGCTTATAACTTATTCTTGAAAGATTTTAATAGCAGAGAGGAGGACTGGGCGTTGGAATATATCATTACAGAGGGGAACATTTGCCATGAAGTATGATACTTGACAAGGAAATCATTTTAGAACTGTGTTTCTTAAATGGCTTGTCTAAGAATTTTATTCTACAGGATCTTGATAGATATGTGGTAGGTGGGGGAATATTCTCTGCCCAAGTAAGTTTGAGAAATAGTAAGTTAAACAAATTTTAAAAGTTTGCCTGCAGGACTTCTCAGAGCCTTTAACATTTTCTGAATTTCCCCAAGAAGGTATATATAGGGTACCCTGCTTTGCCAATTTATTTCTAGATCACCTAGTAACATTTTTCAGGAAAATGTTCTGAGTATACACATGTGACCTGTTTTAGGAATTAATACCTTTGAAAATGTTGAGGACTTTTTTTCCAGTTAAAATGATGATATGATATCATTCACATGTGTTGCTTTCCCCCTAATTCTGTACTTTCAAGATGTTTTCCTGGTGTATACATGGAGGTATTATATCCAACCCTGTGCCCAGTACTTTCCTCTATTAACTCAAGTGTGATTTCCAAACGTGACTGCATATCAGAAATAGCTGGGGAGCTTTTTTAAAAGATTAAGGTTCTGGGGCCCTGATCCTGGAGATTCTGCTGAGTAGAAATGTCACTGTGCTCAGTATTCTGTATTTAATTCAAATGTCCAGGTGATTCTGATGCAATCAGCGCTGGTCCTACAATGAGTGCTTTGGAACCATTGAACTAAGAGTGTGCATGTTTTAGATAGGTGATTGGACTTGGGGTGCAATTAGTTTGTAGTCGTAGAGCCCATGGGTCAAACATCCTATCCTGCAGAGAACTGCAGCACCAACCTCCAGTGGCCCCGTAGGGTGATGTGCTGGCTACAACCTTATGTGAAACAATTGAAACAATGTGAAATATCCTTTAAGAAAAGCAGGATACTCCTAAGGGAGCTTTTGGTCACCTTCCTAAGGAGGGAACACTGTATATAATATTACCATTTGGTTTTACTTAGTTCGAGTAGCTCCCTTGTGGATAGTATATTATTTATACTTTAAAATCGAAATTCTAGTTTATATTTACCCATGGTGTCATCCAAGAGTGTGTTCTCTCCCACCCTCCTGCTGATAACAGATGGACATTTAACCTTAAGAAGCAAATAGGCCAAGATTCTGTCTCATTTATGCTTTGATTTATGTGAGCTCTGATAATAACTTTTCTATTAAAGCTATAACTCTCTGCCTGGTAAAACAGTTCTATATTCCTGGAAATTCTTCACAAATATAGGAACAATATAAATATAACAGTATTTAAAAAGGAACAATATAAATATTGCTAATGGTTTGAGAAGCATCTAGTCTTAACATTATCTTGGTTGAATAGTGTCATATTAGTAATAATATATGAAATACTAGATATACTCCTTAAAAGTAGGAAATATCCACCACTGTTTTAAAATTATTCTGCAAGATCTTGCCAATGCAATGAGACATGAAACAGAAATAAAAGGTGTAATTATTGAAAATTGGAGAGAAAATCTTCATTACCTGCAAACAAAGTTGTATACATTGAAAATGTGAGACATTAAAAAGTAAAATTATCCCAGCCGGGCGTGGCTCAGCGGTTGAGTGTCGACCTGGGATCCAGGTGATCAGGGTTCGATGCCCTGTCAGGGCACATGCCCGGGTTGTGGGCTCGATCAGTGACTCTCATCATTGATGTTTCTATCTCTCTCTCCCTCTCCTTTCCTCTCCCTAAAATCAATAAAGATATATATATATTTTTAAAAAGTAAAATTAATATGTTTAATAAACTGATTAGATATCAGAGGTATCCAAAATCCACATTTCTTTTGTATGCAATCATGGTTTGCTATATACAGTCTTGTTGTTTCTATGTATTTTATTGGTTGGCGAAATAACAAATAGAAAAATTGTTTGCATTGTCGGGTTAGAGAATCAAGAGAGAGAGTAGTGCCATGAAACCTAAGGGGGAAAGTAGCCATGAGGAGGGTGTAACAAACTTGGTAAATGTCATAGAGACGCCAGTTACAGTGACTGGATACTACTGACGGCCTGGAGGCCACTGGCTTCCCTTGTCAGAGCCACGTGGGTGACATGAAGGAGATGAAAGCCGGACCAGAGTGGCTGAAGAAGGAATGTCACGTAGAAGCCAAGACGTTTATTTGAGTTTCTAATGGAAGGAAAAAAGAGTTTGAGAACTTCGTTGCTGTTGCTATTTTGTCATTTTGCTTATTTTCGGCGCCTTTTGTTACCTGTCCCGTGAGGCTGGAAACAAAGGCAGGCTCTGCCTCTGTGAGCCCTGCCCACACGGCACCACCGTGAACGTGAGGGGCACTCATGGGCTTGTGTTTAATTCACGACTGTGAATGAAAGTTTTAAAATAGAGCCCGGCCGGGCGTGGCTCAGCGGTTGAGCGTCGACCTGGGATCCAGGCGATCGGGGTTCGATTCCCGGTCAGGGCACATGCCCGGGTTGCGGGCTCGATCAGTGACTCTCTCATCATTGATGTTTCTCTCTCTCTCCCTCTCCTTTCCTCTCTCTGAAATCAATTAAAGCATATTTAAAAAAATAAAATAAAATAAAATAAAATAGTTGTTAGTGGGGAAAATACAGAAGAAATGTCAGGGAGCTCTCATTTATTCTGCCAGGCAGCCCGAGCTTTGGGACATGCTGTCCCTGTGCCAGCAAGAGGCGCTGGGTTTGGGTGGCTGTCCTCACCAGTCTCGCTGCCTTTATTCACTGCCTGTGTTGGGCTTTTTCTCTTTTCTTTTACAGCTATGAAGCCTACATAGTGGAACACCACGATGCTTCTCCTGTAGAGAGTGTGATGAGGAGCGGAGTTCGGCTTTGGCGTTCTCGGAGCAGAGGAATTGCCGAGGCCTCGGCGCCCAGCCCTGCCGGCGAGGGAGCCCGCACACAATGAACAAGCTGAACTTCCATAACAACAGAGTCATGCAGGACCGCCGCAGCGTGTGCATTTTCCTCCCCAACGACGAGTCTCTGAACATCATCATCAATGTGAGTGAATCCACTTTAGAAATGTGTAGCTCGTTGTGTTTCCACCAGTGGCCACGTTCAAGTGATGACTTGGTTAAGTAGGGCTGAAGTTATTACAGAACGAGGCCACTAAAGGAGTCCACGCAGGTATGAACTTTGAATTTTGGCTTAAGTGCAGCTGCCTTCAGTATTCTCTCGCCTGGGGTAAAATTAGAGAATTTTGGTTACTGTATTATAAAAAACCAAACACTTTACTATTTTTAAACTTTCTATTGAAATCTAGTTTTTATTGATATATAATATGAATTTTCTTTTTAAATACTTCTGAGTTGCACCTGCACACACACACATGAAATGGTAATGCTTGCTGGCTTTTTAATGCGTTTTGATCAGTTTTAATAGTAGCCTACGTCGAGCCAATTTCAAGAATAGGCCGTGCTTTTGAACATTAAGCTGTTGCCGATGCTTCATGGGTCAAAATTAATTCTCTTTAGTTCACCTGGACATTAAGGGATATGACACTATTTATTTTAACTTTTAAAATTGAGTTATAATTTACATGCAGCAAAGCATAGGAAATCTGAAGTGTGCAGCTCAGTGAATTTTTACAGGTGTATACATACATGTAATCGTCATCCAACGTGAGAGTTGAGACGCAGTACATTTCCAACCCCCTGGAAAGATCTTTTGTGACTCTCCCTAGTCGGTAATGTCCACTCAGAGGGTAACAACTATTACCACCTCTATCACCAGAGAGTAATTTTGCTTGTCTCTGAACCTCATGACACTGAAGTTATGTGGTATGTTCTCTTTTGTATCTGGCTTCTTTCACTCAACGTTTGACCTGTGAAATTCTTCAATTTTATTGCATGGAACAGTAATCCTTTCTTTTTCATTGTTGTATGATATTCCATTGTGTGAATATGCCCAGTGTCTTTACTACTGATGGGCATTGAGTTATTTTAAGTTTAGGGCTGTTATAAATAAAAATGTTATGAACATTTTATGTATATGCATATATGTACATATTTCTGGGCTTACAGCTGAGAGTGGAATCATGAATCCTGAGGGACACATATGTTTAGCTTTGGTAGAGACTGCCAGGCAATTTTATGGTAATCAGTATCATGCCTAGCATTTTTCAACCCCTCTCCCTATTATCAACTTTCATATTCTTTCTTTCACTGATTATATTCGGATAAAATTAAGGAAAAAATTGCCTTAGTGCATGCCTTGAATTAGTTTTTGCTAATGCTACTATATTTCAACTCAATTGCTGTATAAAGAGTATTCCTAAATGTTACACTGAACATATATGATATTTAAGTGGCCCCATTAAAAAGTTTAGATGGGAAAAGGTTCTGCTTATTACCATAACTATTTTGGCTTTATTTTGACAATCACGACAGTTTCTTGATTTACTATTGCAACCTTGTTTTTGCTTCTAGGGGTTGTCTGAGAATCAAACCTACCTATTGCATTAACTATCATTTGTTGGGCATAATTTCTATTGCTTAGGTACTCGAGGTACCTGAGTTGTTTTTGATGTGTGAATATCACACTATTTTTACAGCATTTGGTTTTTAAAACCTAATAAAGATTGGCAACATATCTCTGTTTCATTTTGGGCACTGGCAAAATATATTCAAATGTAATTTACTGATATATGTGAGTATGCTATTTGAGTTCTTTTATACAGTTATAAAAAATGTATCCACTAAATTTTAAAAGTATACATAATCATATAGCATAAGCACTTAAGATACTTCTCTCAGTTCCATTTCTGTCTTTTCACCTGGTGGAATATGTATACATGTGTTCATGTGTGTTTATATAGACACACAGAATGTGGAACAAAACCTTACCGATCTCAGGGAAGTGGAAGGAAGACCAATCTGACTTCATAAGGAGTACTAAAAGCTGACTATAATTTTCTAGGAAATTATTTTGAACTAAAATCTCAGGTGAGGAAGATAACTGTAGAGAACAGATTGGAAGATAGCCAATCCATTCATTGTTGTACATCAGTGGCTTTAAATCTTTAATGTACATCAGAATTATTTGGTGAGCTTGTTAAATATACAAACCATTATACTCCACTCCTTGGAGATACTGATGTCGTAAGTCTAGGGTAGGACACAGGAAACTGCATTTAACAACCTCCCCTAAGCAGGTGCTATAGATATTTTAAAATCAAGCCAGATGGGCCAAGGCCTTAATACCAGCACCACCTAGCTTAACTCCATAGAACTCTGTTTACTGGATTGTGTTTTTCACATCGTGTCAGTGGCCTAGTCCTTAGACTATGTAGTAAACACAAAGTAAATATTGGTTGTTAGTAATACAGTTATCATCATTGTTGTTGAGAAATGTAAGATTTTTCATATTTTGACTCTACACTTTACTAGTTTTGTGACCTCTGGACAAGTTAAGCTCACTCACCTTCCTCACTTGCAAAAGCAACTTGCCCAGTACTTAACACATAGTAGGCATTTGATTTATATTAGCTCCCTTTCTGCCTTCCCTTTATGAAGAATAATTGAGGGCCAGTATGGTAGTAAAAACACATGAATGTACTGAACACACACACAGACCTGAATTCAAATCCATGTCTGAATGACTTTTGGCAAGTTCATTAAACCTCCCTCAGCTTCAACAGCTTCACCTATAAAAAGGGCACGGTACCTGTGATTGGGAGAAGTAAGGGTTAGCACAGAGCATAATTTCTCACACATAGATGATAGCTGCTTTTATTACTTTCATTCCTTACTCAGAGATTAATTTTGCACTGCTTTAATTTCCTTCTTTTGCACAATTAGTATAATAATTCATTCCTACAGGATGGTCGGGATTGTGAGCATGGACTATAAAGCCATGTATCATTATGACTGAGGAGGGCTTGAGAGTCACAGGGACCTGAGTAAAAATCCATAGTCCGTGACTTACTCTGCACCTTGGGCAAGTTAGATGTTTTGCCTCAGTTTTCTCATCTCTAAAGTGGAGATAATCGTCCCCTCCTCACAGAGACATTGCAAGGATTTACAGCTATAGCATGCAGAAAGTGCTTATGGCGGCTCCTGGCAGCTGGCAGGCACTTAGAGCTGTTTGCTCACTTCATTTGGGGCGCCGTGTTAATGAAACCCACATGGGGAGCCTGTACCCCATGGAGGCCTAGTCTCATTCCAGGGCATACAGATTGCCCTGCCATGCCCGGACTCCTCTCCTACCCGACCCAAGGAGGAAGAAACCCCTCCTTGCTAGCGAACCCGTTCAAAGTTGCCAAAGGCCTGTCTTTTCCTACAAAGTGTTGTGTTTGTATTCGGAAAATAGCAGTCGATGTTTGTAGAGTTGTGGTATAACAAATTAACTGCAGCAAAAACTATTTCATTAATGGTCTGATTTTTTTCATCATTTCTAAATAGTTTTTTAAACAAAGGAAGTTTATTCCCTGACAAGTGCTGTTGATAGAACGTTGTCTTTCTGCCCGTGGGGTAAATTTAGTGTTTTGATCATTCCGAATTCTCCCTGAGTAGTTGAACTGATAGGGACTGTTTTAAATTATTTTACTCACCAGATAAATATTAAATTTGGAAACTTGGGAAAATTTTGGAAATAAAATCATGGTAAATTTAAGACCCACAAAATTTTTGAGTGATATAAATTGTGATCAAGAACTTAAAGCTCTTCACTCAAACTAGAGTGAACAGTTTGTGTGTGTGTGTGTGTGTGTGTTTGGAACATAGTTTAAACGTTCTCGCTCAAAACAAACCATTGACATTTAGGATCAAATGCTGTTTTTATTAAAAACTTACGTGTAGAGTATATTTTTAGATAATGCCTTAATTCTTATTCTTCATACCTCATTCTCTATAGCACTTTTTAAAGTTCTCATTGCTCCTAAAGATTAAAGAACGAAAAGTTTCACAAGAGCTAAAGTGTTGCCTTAAAAGACTCATAATATACAAACACAAAAACCCAAGCTGTTTTCACAGCCGGGGAGACTTCAGCGCCACAGCCTTAGTTAATTGCAGTTTTTAAACAAGAACACTGTACTTACTTGATAGTTGTTAAAAAGCTTTATCAGTAGTCTTCAAGGAGCTGCTTTTAACATGTGGAATAATAATACTAATAATTATTATTATTATTATAATTATATGGGATATATGGGGGAAATCTACAGCATTATTTGAACAGCAGTTACACAATGCATCGTGGCTTATTTTTATGTACAGCTTGTGGTTTAAGAATTTTTCTGTTAACTTTTTGTCACATTTTATCTTAAGTGCTTTCTTTGTATATGACATTTTTAAATACAGTCAAAACTAAGGTTTAAAGGTTCCCTAGACTGTATGCCATTCTAATTCTGAAATTTGTGTTATATAGTTCAGTTTTGTGTAACATGATACTTTTTCCTTTATCATTCTGTTTATGGAAGCTTATTTGTAAAGCGGAATTAGGGTAACATAGAACTCTAAAATGTTTTTTTTCTTTTCTCTTTTTAAAAATGTATCTTTATTGATTTCAGAGAGAGAAAGGGAGAGGGAGAGAGAGAGATAGAAACATCAATGATGAGAGAGTCATTGATTGGCTGCCTCCTGCATGCCCCTGACTGGGGATCGAGCCCGCAACCCAGGCATGTGCCCTGACCTGGAATCGAACCCCTATCTCCTGGATCCTAGGTCGATGCTCAGTCGCCGAGCTACACCAGCCGGGCCAAAGTGTTTTGAATGAATGAAGATGATAATGGTTTCCTGCTGGCAAATGTGTTCTCTCAGTGGTGGTGGGTTTCCATTAATACATTTTCCCTAAATTCTTAACTGGCGCATTTATAGAATGGTCTGCTCAGTGGGTCAGAGAGCAGTCTGCAGTCGTGGGACAGAACAGAAGGAGCCCAAAGGGAAATCAGACTCCTGGCTTTCACTCATCAAATATTTACTGAGTGCCTACTGTATATCCTGAGTATAAAACAAAACACCTTTCCAGCTTCGCCGAGCTCCTGGTGGTCCTAAGCCACCAGTTTTGTGCTGCTCTGGCCTTGATGTACAGACCTTTCGCACTTTCGGAGGATGAGGTGCTTCAGGTCAGTCCGCATTTCCTAACGAATGTGAAAGAGTAATAAGCCTATTTTTCTTACTCCATTTGTCATCAACACCATTCTGAATTGCTTGGTGGTCAGTTATTGAGGAATCTCAGCATGTTTTTATTTTCCGAATCTGAGTAACATATTAAGGCATGATAGGAAGTCATAATTTGGAGTTAACTAATTTAGAATAATAAGACTGTAATTGGCCTCATTGTCGTTGAAGACAGAATTTGCAAGCTGTAGTACAAGCGAGAGGTGAAATGCCACACCTAATAGATATAGCTGAGAGGACAGTCATGGTGAACATATTTTATTTTTTAAATATGCTATTTATTGATTTTAGAGAGAGAGAAAGGGAGAGGGATAGAGAGACAAAACATTGATGAGAGAGGGAGACATCAATTGGCTGCCTCCTGCACACCCCCTACTGGTAATCGAACTGGTGAGCTCCTGGTTCACAGGTCAGCTCAACCACTGGGCCACACCGGCTGGGCATGTTGCACATATTTTATTTTATTTTATTTCTTTTTTTTTTTCAAAATATATCTTTATTGATTTCAGAGAGAGGAAAGAAGAGGGAGAGAGAGAGACAGAAACATCAATGATGAGAGAGTCGTTGATCAACTGCAGCCCGCAACCCGGGCATGTGCCCTGACTGGGAATCGAACCCTGACCGCCTGGATCCTAGGTCGACGCTTAACCGCTGAGCCACGCCCGGCCGGGCATGTTGCACATATTTTAATATACACATATAAAAATACTATAACACAGCCCTGGCCAGTGCGCTCAGTGGTTAGAGCGTCAGCCCTCGGACTGAAGGGTCACGGGTTCGATTCCCAGTCAAGGGCATGTAACTTGGTTACAGGTTACCTGTCCCTGTCCCCGGGGGGTGGGGGTGGGGGAGGCAGCCAATTAATGTGTCTCAGGTCGATGTTTCTCCCTCTCTTCTCCCCCTCCTCCCTCCCTTCCACTCCTTCTAGAAGTCAGGGGAAAAAATATCCTCAGGTGAGGATTAAAAAATAGTAATAATATTATAATACACAAATGAGCAAAGTTGTGAGTTGCTGCCTTTGCCACTTGACTAAGCTTTCTGGGTTTTAGTTTTTACTTCTATAAAATGACGAAATTGATCAGTAGGGTCTCTTAAAGTCAATTCCAACTCTAAGATGCTTTAGTGATTCTGAATTCAACAAGGTATACGCAGCACAGTTGCTCTCCCCCAAAACACTTCATTAAACATCTGAGAAGTCTTAAAACTGTATCTTTTAAGGACTGGTTTATCATTCATCATGTGACTTTTCAGAATAATTTATTCCCAGGGTTTCAAATTAATGTGGTTTTATGAGGTTTGAATTATACTAGAATTCAGAAAAGAAACTTGGTTTAAGCCCCTGAAAGGTATAAAACAATAAAATGATTAATTAAGATAAATAAGAGCTAAGAATTCATTTATTGTAGAGATAAATGAGATACTTGCCAAATTAATACTTTTGATAATCTGAGATACTTGCCAAATTAATACTTTTGATAATCTGAGTAGATTCCTTTTGAAATATTTATCATGCGCCGTAATGGATTTAGATTAAGGCCTTGTCCGTGTATCATAAGATTTACCTGAGTCTTCTACAAGATTGCATTGGAACTTTATTACCTTGTTGTAAAAATTTGTATTGTGATAATCATTGAAACTCAGCTACAGATTAAAGTAGATGATTTCAATAAACCAACAGTTGTTTTGGTAGTGTCAGCTTATTTTAAGGAATTTATTTAGGCTGCATTAAATTGTCCAATTGTGGCTCCTTCTGTGGAGTTGGTCGAATTTTTATCTCAAGTTGTGTTTTTCCCCCCTACAGGTTAAAATTCTGTGTCACCAGTTGCTGGTCCAGGTGTGTGACCTACTCAGGCTAAAGGACTGTCACCTCTTTGGACTCAGTGTTATACAGAGTAAGTCTTATTCTCATCTCTGATGGGTTTAGCCAGCTATCCCTAAGGGAATGACATTTTATACCTGTAACTTAAATTGGGCATATGCTATAAAATTGTGATTCTGAAAATACCTGTAAACTGATGATCATTTTTAGTCTAGTATTCATCTTTCAAACTTAACTCTTGGGTATTTTTTATAAGATTTAGAATCTTAGATGATGTATTTATTATAGTTTGAACTCAAAGATTGTTTCCTCTTTAGGAGTCTGGATTTTATGTGTTTGCTCTTTTATGTTTTAATGAACAAGCTTGACTTTTGTTTACTTGCACAGAGGGAGCAGCCAGAGCTAGTAGGAAATTAGCTTGGATGCTTTTGTAATTTAATTTGTTTTATAATTTTTGGCATGAAAAGAAATGTAGACATAATAAAACTGACTTTCCTCTATTCATATTCCCTTGGGATTGACTGTACAACAACGTTTTCTGTTAATTTATTCTTATTTTGGGTTTTTTTTTCTCTTTACCCCTTCTCTTTTTTCCAGTTAGAATATATGACTTTGAGATGTGGGATCAGTTTCCTCTGTATACTTTATGTGGAGAAGATTTTCAAGTAAAGGGCATCTCTCCCCCAACATCTTAGTTAAAGTTCCCAGGGTTTAGCTGTAGCCATTCCTTATAAGCTTTCTTCTTTCAAATTGTATTTTTAAATTTCTCTAATCTTCTAGATGCCAAAAATCTTCCCTGTCTTTGCTCAGTTTTCAAGGAGATTTTCTTATGAAATGCTTTTATGTTTTATACTTGGATATGAATTATTTTCTACTACTGGAATTGGTTTAAATTTAAAGGCTTATGATATCTTGAGAATCTGGTTAGTACCATAAAATGCTTAGATCTATCAGGTTAGAAAGTGTATCATGATCCACTGGTAAGCAAGGCCCATCTCCTCCAAAATGTGAACTATTTTCAAAAGTCTTTTTAGGCGAGGCCAGAGCAGGGAACACACCAGGAATGGCTGAATCAACCATTTGCTCTTCAGTTTCTTCCTATGGTAGTTAAAGCAATAAAAGCACAAATGCTCAGTTCCATCCCTGTATTAGTACATACCTCAGTCGTTCTTTCAAGAAAGGGGCTGGGAGGAAATAAGGTGCCCTGTAGATTCTGAATAACAAATTTTACTCTCTACTCAAAGTTCATTCTTACTACAACTGCAGCCAGACTGTTGATCTTTGCTGTTGAACAAGTCAGTCTGATAAAACCAGTTTACAGCTTCCTTAGGTTTCAAAATAAGGGTTTTTAAGATGATCTTTTTAGAAGAGAGATTGTAATATGGCGAAAGAACATTGGAAACAGGAATCTGATGACCTGGTTCTAATTCTGGTTCTACAACTAGCTAACTGTGTGGCTTCAGACGTGTCTCTTGACGTCCTCAGTTTCAGTTTTCTCACACGTCAGACGGAAATGACTGTGCCACCTGTTTGCAGGATCGATGCGCGCTTGAGAATCCTCAGAGGATAAAGGTCTGGTCCGACGGCCGGAGGGCAGGGACAGCGCGGTACTTTGCAAATATGTCTGTGCTTCTCCTGGGGAGCGGCCTCAGTTCTGTTCCTTCTGCCGCTGCAGATGGGAACTCAAGCCAAACACAAATCAGGTTCAACGGGAAGGCTGCCTGGTCTTGTCCGTTTCATGTTGAATCGGTAAAACGGGAGAGACGGGAGGTGGTGCTAATCGATCTGATAAGTGGATTTGAGAAGCACCTCTTTTTTCCTCTGGGACCTTTTCCCTGTCCCTTTCATTCACGTCGGTTGATTTAGTATCGCCAAGAGTGGCTTTACCCTTTCTCCTCTCCTCTCCTCTCCTGGCACTTTTCCCGTCGAACCCCAGCATGCAGTGAGGAGTGGCCGTGTGTGGCCAAGTATGTCATCCTTGGAGTAATCCAAAGACACACCTCCCTTCCAGAAGGAGTACATTCTCATGGAGAGCTTTCCATGAGCCTGCCCCCTCCGTGAGGGTTAGAGAGAAAGGAATAAGCTTAAAAAAAAAAAAAAAAAAAAAATTAAAAAACTTNAATCGGTAAAACGGGAGAGACGGGAGGTGGTGCTAATCGATCTGATAAGTGGATTTGAGAAGCACCTCTTTTTTCCTCTGGGACCTTTTCCCTGTCCCTTTCATTCACGTCGGTTGATTTAGTATCGCCAAGAGTGGCTTTACCCTTTCTCCTCTCCTCTCCTCTCCTGGCACTTTTCCCGTCGAACCCCAGCATGCAGTGAGGAGTGGCCGTGTGTGGCCAAGTATGTCATCCTTGGAGTAATCCAAAGACACACCTCCCTTCCAGAAGGAGTACATTCTCATGGAGAGCTTTCCATGAGCCTGCCCCCTCCGTGAGGGTTAGAGAGAAAGGAATAAGCTTAAAAAAAAAAAAAAAAAAAAAGATTAAAAACTTCGTACAACATAGGAATGTTGAAGGCTTTTCTTGTGAAATAAACCGCTCTTAAAAGATTCTCTTTGGGAAGCCTGCAAAACTTTTATATTTTTTACTAGCTTGCTTTCACATGTTTAGATCATTTTGACATGGGCTTCTAGCAGCCTTGTTTTCTCTTCGTCTTGAACTATTTTGGCATTCATTCTTGTTTTTCATGAGATTCTTCTCCTCTTCCCACAAGATCAATCCCAAAGGCAGTGTGAGGAATGGTTCACCGTTTGTCATGCTGTGTTTTACATGGAAAACACTTGAGGACTGTTCTTTGCAAAGCGTGGGTCAGGCCCCCTCACTCGAAAATGTACGATTATCATCAGTGTTATCTGATTTCTTATATCGCAGCTAAAATGGTGTTTCTGCCCAGTTTTCATTATTTTGCGCTGGTGAGAAGAGTCTTCTGTGAGCTAAACAAAAGCATGTGTTGGTGCCAGACCAAGTAACGCCCAGTGTTGGAAGTTAGACTATAAGCTGTACTGACCCTAGAAACTAAGTAAAAGCAGGAGTAGGAAACTAATATTTCTTCTAAATAGTACATATTTTAATAGTATGTGCTCTGTATGGCAAAAGCGAAATGATTCGTAAAGACCCTCATTAATATCTAGCCCACAGAACTTAGGTTTTAGTATCTTGTACTTTTTTGGTAGTATGTGAATTCAGAGTACATTCACAGGTCCGGAGGCTTTTTTTGAAAAACTTGTTTCTTTGTATATTCTTTTCTTTTAAAAAATCCAACCACCTTTATCATCTTGTTTCCTTTTTTTAATGTGCAGATAACGAACATGTATATATGGAGTTGTCACAAAAGCTTTATAAATATTGTCCAAAAGAATGGAAGAAAGAGGCCAGCAAGGTACGACAATGCGAAGTCACTTGGGTGAGATTACATTTATGAGCAAAATTATTTTGATTTTTTTAAAAGGTTTATTTTCGCTATTATACATAAAAAATACTGTAAACAACATTTTACACATTAGAGAATGGGAAAGGGAAATGAATTCTGAAAGTTCTTAAGTGTCACATTAATGAAGTATTAATAGCTTATAACGTATGACTAGATTTTGGATATCTTTAAATGATGTTTGGTAATAACTTCTCAGGGATCATGGGATAATGCTGTGACATGAAAAGCATGGACAAAGTGTACACGTTCCTTTTCTGCGGCTTATGCTGGTTGTCAAAACCGATGTCCTAAATATTATTAGCAATTTTGGAATCTGCTTTTACTGTTCTTACATTTGATACTTTGCTCCCTTGTCATGCTGGAGCCTTTCTTTGGTAAACATCAGTTCTAGTTACAAGGGGGAACGCTCGCGGAGGATTTGCCTAGTGTTTGCAGGATCACCCTGGCAAGTCGGGAATAAATCCCCAGAGTCTAATCCTGGATCCTCCAATTTGTATTTAAGAATTCTTGGAATAAACTGGAAGGCTACTTCAAAGCGAACTACAAAGTAAGGAACACGAATGTCTACATAAACAAACAGCATATTAGAATTCGGTATGTGGAATGTCAGAGGAACAAGGGAGCATTTGTAATTAGGAGCAAATGGTCACCACAGGGGACAGAGCTGAGAAAGGAGCTGGATCTCAGCTAGAAATTTCCACTGACATTTATTTTTATCTTCCCGTATGTTGTCATTGGCATTACGGTGAATGAGTATCAGATACAGTAATGATGCTTTGTGCACGAATCTGGTATCCATATGGGACAACGGTCTACCCGCTGCAAGGCCGCACTCACTAGAAGTAGATAAAACCTTTCAGTGTTTAAAAAGTATCTTGTAAATAATGGTGTTTTATTACTTTTGAAATCCAGTGTTGAAGTAACTGAAAAGGGCTTGATTTTTATGTGTCTTCGTTGTAGGGTATTGACCAGTTCGGACCTCCTATGATCATCCACTTCCGAGTGCAGTACTATGTGGAAAATGGCAGGCTGATCAGGTGAGAGGGCGGGGAGAGATTCGGAACCTTCCTTGCCCATAGCGCTCATCTCCCTACATAAATAAGCCAACTGGAGTACTTACAACCAAATAAAGTACTTGTGGTTGTCTGTCTCCACCTGCTAGACTATAAATTCTGTAAGAGCAGGGATTTTTTATTTTTTAAACCTTTTTGTGCATGCATGTATCCTCAGGTCCCACAGTGGGGATACAGTATGCACTCAGTTTGTTAAATGAATTTGTTAAATGAATGAATGATCATGTTAGGCCGTTGATAAAAACGTTAGCAATATCACTAGCTCTCATTTTCTCTATTCCACATTTTCAATAACAAATCAGTCACCATAAAGATACTTCATTCAAGAAGGAACTAGCACTTTTGTGAAGAGTAGAGAAAGTGATGAAAAAATTATATTCCTTTTTGGTGGGGGTGGGGGTGGGGAGTGGGCAGCCGCAAGAACTCTCTTCTATAAAATCGCCTGGGTGTTTACACAGCCTGGTGTTCTTTTCACTTTGGGGGTCTTGCTTCTGTTCCTGGCAGTAGCTTTAAAGCTAAGGCTACGCCCAGTGGAGTTACCCAGTGAGGATCTTAGATGCCATTTGGCAAAAGCAGGTAACTGATGCTTTTTCTGGAGGTGGCTGCATGGACAATACAATCCTCATGATACAGACTGAGAATTCACTGTTTCAAAAGCAACTTATCATTTGCTTAGGAGGATTTGATACTAGAAAACTTTCAGAGGTGATTTTGCTGGCTGATAAGAGAATACTAGACATGTGAACTCTGTGTTTTACTTATTTACTGTTAAACTTTGAGAAACCCCATGTAAGAGACAAAGATACGTGTGGCTAGTGAGTTATATGTGAGATTTGCTCTTAATTATATCATCGCCATATGCATATTACAAAGTAAAATATGCATAAAGAATGTTTTTTAAAGGCTGAGAAACTTTTTAGTTATTCCCAGTTCGTACAAATTTTTTATTCAGTTTATCTATTAAGTATGGAACGCACTGGAAAGAAAGAAAATATATTATTTAGCCACTAATTAACCCCCTGAGGCTAATGAATGTTTAATTTATCCCTGTACCTCTGCCCTTTTCCCCTGGGATGAACTAGTCCAAACACTGTGTGGTCAGCATTATAAAAAGAAGTGCTCTGAAAGTACCAAGGGGAAAAAATTACATAAATGCTTTATTTTTATTCTTTTTGTGTTTGTTTCTGTTAAATGCTTTATTTTTAAACTCTTCATATTTAAACATGATCTTGATTAGAATAAACCCCATGTATTTTTATTATCATCAGCTAATGAGCTATGAATCTCAGGTAAACTTTCAACCTAAAATAATAGGGAGGCAAATAAGCGCATTAAATATATACTTACATTTTTTTCTTGCATTTTTACTTTGATCACAGAGACATCTTATATATGCCTATGACATCTTTTGGAACTCAACCATGTTTTTCCCAGTCAGCACTTCTTACTCAGTGGGGACTATATTTATTGCTGATCTCAACAAATTGCAATGAGTGCACTATTAGTATTTCCGTTTTTGAGGAATATCATGACTGTCATAACATGTGCTTATTCAAACACACCCCTAAAGTAACATCCACTTAGTAAAAATAAAATATTTAAGGGAAACATTTTTCAGTTCATTCATTCTGAGAGAGGAATTTAAAACACCATTTATTGTTAAAAATTTTTTCTAGACAGTCTCATAAACAGAAACATTTTAAAAAGAGCCTTAGAGTATTTGTAAGGTGCTCAGCTGAAACACAGAAAAGAGTAGCAAAACGTTAAAGCCAGGCTTGTCCCCTCAGCTTTGCCCTTCCTTATGCTAGGTGTACAGCATTACTGCAACAGAGTTTTTTACTACAGCTAATGCCTAGGCCTCTGTTGTCATGCTCGTTCAATGAAGTATTTACCATATTAGAGTGGAGAGAGTCAGGCCTTTTCCCCAGTGTCTGAATGAATGGAGCGTTACAGGTCTTAGGAGGTGTTATTTTTGCAGCGCGCGCAGTCTGACTTAGAATCAGCGAGACAGCGATCAGGTGCTCCCTTCAGCCTCCCCTTTTCTCAGTGAGTGGGGAGGGAGAGGGAGGAGGGAGCAGAAACAGAAAAGCCCTTGTCAGCAGATGGATAGCAGGATCTGGGTTCTGTTTACATGCCATTGGATTGTACCATCAAAATGTGAGTTCTGTTTTCTTTTATTTTCCCAGTGACAGAGCAGCAAGATACTATTATTACTGGCACCTGAGAAAACAAGTTCTTCACTCTCAGTGTGTGCTCCGAGAGGAGGCCTATTTCCTGCTGGCAGCCTTTGCCCTGCAGGCTGATCTTGGGAACTTCAAAAGGAATAAGCACTGTGGAAAATACTTTGAGCCCGAGGCTTACTTCCCATCTTGGGTAGGCACTGTTTGCAAGTCCTAAATGTTTTCTCTAGCGCATCTCTAGTTCATTGTGCAGCCACTCGTGTTGCTTCAAGAAATGGGAACCCAGATGTTGTGTGGCCAGTGAAACCCTTCATGATGCCCAAGTATAAATTTAACACTTGAGAGCATGGTGCACGTGATCTCTTGATGCACTTGGTTGGCTTATAGTTAACGCAGAAGATGACTGCTCTTCATTCTAAATGTGGCGGAATTTGGAATTTGCCAGCCTTCTTTTGGCTTTTATATGGCCTTGATCTTCTTATTTACTCTTAATTGGAGCAGCATATTCTCCTTCCCCGTCAACCCCATTGTAAGTTGGAAATATTGTTGAGATGCATTCAATACATCTAAACTACATTCTAGCTTAGCTTAGCCTGCCTTAAACATGCTCAGAACGCTTACATTCGCCTACCCTTAAGCAAATCACCCAACTGAAAGCCTGTTTTATGATAAAGTGTTGCATATCTCATGTAACTTACTGAATATGATACTGAAAGTGAACAGTAGAAGGGTGTGTGGGCACCCAGCTCTAAGGAGCACAGCTGACAGCCTGAACACAGCCTGAAGCATGTTTACAGCCTTGAACTAAAGCGAAAAATGTAGCACAGTGGACACAGAGTATTAGCTGTTCACCAGCGATACTGTGGCTCACTGCCGCTGCCCGGCATCAGAGAGAGTACCAAATTGCATATCACTAGCCTAGGGGGAAAAAAATCATTCAAAATTCAAAGTACGGTTTCTCCTGAGTGCATATCGCTTTCACACCGCAGTCAAAAAATCGTAAGTCGAGCTATCATATAAGCCAGGGACGCTGTGTCTAAGTAAACTCCTTGCTCTGACCGCCGTCTCCTGACTTCAGCAGGAAAATTTAGGTTATTCTGGCATGAACAGTCTCAGCTGTCCTCCCTCCACCCACCCCTCTGTTCCTGCTCCCACCCTTCCGCCAGGTCTCTGCTGTAACCTCTCTCTGTCCTATACCTTTACCCTCTGCTCAAACCAACCCTCCTTCAGTCAGAACATGCACGACGTGTGTGGTTTGCACCGGCCCGTCCTCGGGAAAGAAGGGAGGGAAAGGAATGCTGTCTCTCTAGCCTTCCCTTCCCAGTAAAGCTTCCTGAAAAAGTGATGTATGTTTGATTTTCTAGCTTCTTTACTTCCCACATGTACTCCTCCGCCCACTTCCACTTGCCCTCTTTCCCCACCGCTCCACTTGTGGGGCTGTCCCCGAGGTCACCATAACCTTTAAATTGCCAAGTCCAACGAATCTTTCTCACTTCCTGAATTTCTCAGCCGCACTTGACAATTCACTCCTCCCAGTCTTGGGAGATTTCATCCATCTGAATGCTTTTAGCAACCACCTCTCCCCTGTGTCCTGAGGCATCTCAAGTTCAAAATGTGCCAAATCAGATTAATCTTCCCACCAGCTCAGCTCTGTGTAATCCTACCTCTGTGTTCCTAATCTCAGCCCGTGGCACTGCCATCCACCCGCTCACCCAGAAACCTGGAGTTGCACAGAACTCTCCCTCATCACCCTCCCTTCTCCCAGTCCCACCCAGTCAACCAGAACACTGATAACCCATGAACGCTTGATAACCCATCACCCAGCTTAAGAAATAAAGTTCCTCTGTATTTTTGTTAACTTTCAAAATGTCTGTTGCGTCCCTTTGCCATCACTGTTCCTCCCACCTCCCAGGTTCCAGCTCTCCCCAGCTCTCCCCAGCTCTCAGCAGCTCTACAGTGCAGGTTTGACTTTGCTTCTGATTGAAACCTCCCGGGGCACCTCTGTCACCTACACAGCGAAGCCCAGGCTCCCAAACATGACTGAGGATCTTTGCAGGATGTGGCCCCTGCCAGCCTTTCCAGATTCCTTTCTAACTGCCCAGCACCTTGAATTTCATGCTGTAGCATCTTGCAGTAATTCCTGTGTCTCCACACCTGTGGTGGCTCACACTCTGACCTTTCTGCCTCCAGTTCTTTTGGCATGTGAAGCCCTTTCCCTGTTTCCCCTAACTCCTGTTCATCTTCCAGGACTCAGCTCAGGTGTAGTTTACTCTGGGCAGACTATCCAGGTGCCCAGCACCCCTTCTCTGCACTCAGCAAGACCCTGGATGGATGTGTTTGACACGTTGTTTTCAAATAATCTGTTTATCTTTTGCTCCCCCCCCCCCC